TAGCTCTGCTGAGTTAGCACAAGACTAGATATAATCCTGACTTACCCAGTTTCACTCAGCACATTGCTGTCAGATCCTCTCCAAGATTATAACAAGGCTCTTCACAGAACCCCAGAGAGCAAGTCAGGTAGATCAGGCACATTTTCTGTCTGGGTTTTCCAATTTATCAAGCAGGATTAATACTCCCAGCTCTGGCACAACACTGTATAGCCCTGAACAAGCCAAATAACTGCTCTGGGCCTCAGTCATCCCACCTCAAGGCTCTGTGGAAGACTGCAGAGTGCAAGGAATTATTTTTTATATGCCTATAGTGGGAGGATGCATACCTAAGAAAGAAAAACCAGGACACGTTTGGGCTGTCACCTTGGCCTTACCAGCTATCCACAGGCTAAGGCTGCAAAAGAAAGATCAATTTTCTCATCTTTCTGAGCTTTGCTTGTTGCCACAAGGGGTTGGGAGGGAATTTCTGTTCTATGCTACATGTTAGGGTTTCGGGGCTTTTTAGGCCTTCCTCAGAAGCACAGGGTGTTGGCTGCAGCACTGGCTGCAGATTGGGACTGGGGTGTGCCAATGTTCCTGCTGGGACTTAAACCTGGAGGTTCCTGGCTACAGAGTCTTGCCCCTCTGCTCAAGGTCAAATGAGTTACTAAATGGGGGGGTGGGGGGGGTGTTTGCCTTCTTCTGTACTGGGGGGGGAATAACCCTCTTCCTGGAATCTCTTGAGAGCATATTAACAACCTTCACAGACGCACACGATGTTGTCTGCTGTTGTGCCCTTGCTCTACCTCATATCAGGTTCAGATGTTACATCTTGTGCTATGTCAAGGTTGACTGTGGTTTGGCTAAGAGGTTAGACCAGGGGTAGGCAACCCCTGGCACGGGTACCAGTGTAGCACTCAAAGACATTTTACTTGCACGCATGCCTCTGGGTGGATGGTGGGGAAGGGGCCGGGTCTACACAGCCACAACAAGGATCAGGCCCTTCATGGCTCCCCCACCATCTGCCCCTGGCACTCCAACATCTTACAAGTTGAAGTTGCAGGTGTTTTTGGCACCCTGCCCAAAAACATTGCCAACCCCTGGGTTAGACAATGGATTTTTACAGGATGGTTTGGATAGGGATGATCCTGCCTTAGGCAGAGGCAGGGCTGTCCTGGGGTGGGAAGAGGGGGTGGGGTGGGGTGGGAATCAGGATGACTGCCCTGAGCCCAACAGAGCTGGGTGGTGTGGCCATGGTGACTCTGAGCCGCCACTGCTGGCTTTGCATCCGGACGCTCGCTACCCCCCCCACCCGCCCCTGCCACTGGTAGTGGCTTCTTTACATCCAGGGTGCAAGGGATCAAAGTGGGAGCAGGGCCCCGCGTGAGCCGATTTGCCCTGGGCCCCACACCCTGCTCGGGTCAGCTCTGGGCAGGGGGCTGGTCTAGATCAGTTCCGCGGACCGATGCCGATCTGTGAGCCACCAGTCGCCAGTCCGCAGCGAGTTGCCAGGAAAGAAAGAAATATATTTTCAGAAGCATAACACTGATGTATCACAGCACCACAGTTTGTACATTCCAACACTCTAGGTGACGTCATGTCGTGCGAGGTGAGGAAAGAGAAAAAAACAACCGGTCGCGCATTTGTGTAGCGCTGTTACACACAGTTGCTGCCACCGGCTGAACTGGGCACCGGTCCCTGGCCCACTGGAAAAAAAATTGCTGGTCCGCCACATCAGATAGTTTGAGAAGCACTGGCCTAGATGACTTCTTGAGGTCCCTTCCAGCCCTACATCTCTATGATTTTGCCAAATCCTGTGTTCCCAGGCCCATCGTTTAGAAATTACTGATCTGGATACATGGAACCCAGGGGTGGAGTTCACAATCATCTGAACAAACACATGCAGAGCATCCTACCAACCTCTGGAACATTGCCCAATGTATTAATAACCTGTGCCAAAGGCACTGTGCATGTGCAAAGGGCAATTCTCAAAGGCGCACATGTCAACCACATTAAAACAAATGCTCAACAGAACACTCATAGGTATTTCTCCCCTGGAGCCATTTCTCTGCCAAATCTTAGCTTCAGTTCTCCACAACAAGGAGCACAGTAATGGAGCTCAGCTGAGCTTATGAATGCTCTGACTTCTTAAAATAATGTCACAAAACCATTCTATTTAAAAAATAATAATAAATAAAAAGATATTTTCTCTCTCTACTACACCCTCATACTCCTCTTGAATTCTTTTGTTCCAGCTTCCATAAAAAATCACTACAAGACAGATAATACCAGTAAGAACTCAAATCCAAATGTAAAGGTCTGAAATGTTGAGCAATTAAGAACAAAGGCTTTAACTAGCCCTGGTGCAGTTGCAACTGACACTGTTTATTTCTCCTACCACATTGCTCCAAAGGTATTAAACTGGAAGTAGTTCACAGAAGAGCAGCAAAAGGGAGAGAAAGAGTACAGGGAGATTTATTTACAGAGATTAAGAAATGAAGTACCCATGACTGAAAAACACCTAAAATATTCAACTCAAGTAAACATTAAAGGGCTAATCTTGCAGAGTGCACAGTACTACTCCATGTAGTATTGGGCTCCCAGAAGAGAAAAAAAAAATACACCTGCACATGAGGGAAAGCACCAATAGCTAGACACACGAAGGCAGAGTGTGCCAAAAGCTCCATAACTTTATATTTTCAAAATTAAACAGATAAACTAGAAAATGTATTATAAAAGAAAGATTCCACACTGATATTGATTCAACTGGATGACATAAGAGATCTTCTCCACTGGTGCCACGGCATCCAGACCTTACTTCTGATCAGCTCTGGACTCAAGTCGTAACTTAACTACCCAGTCCAGAAAACTGCCTGAAGCCCATCTCAAAGGAAAGACTGCCCCGGGCCCTGTGGAGCCAGGTGGTGTGGCCATGGTGACCCTGAGCCACTGCCACTGGCTCTGCATCTGGGCGCTTCCTACCCCCCGCACCCCGCCACTGGTGGCAACTTCTTCACATCCAGGGTGTGCGGGATCGGAGCGGGGGGCAGAGCCCCACACGAGCTGATTTGCCCCAGGCCCCACACCCTGCTCGGGTTGGCTCTGGCAGGGGGTTGGTCTAGATGACTTCTTGAGGTCCCTTCCAGCCCTCTGTCTCTACAATTTTGCCAAATCCTGTGTTCCCAGAACCCTCATTTAGAAATTAGGGTTGGCTGGGGACTACAGCACTGGACTGGTTCTCAAGAAACTTGAATTCTATTCCCAACTCTGATACTGGCCTGCATGGACAAGTCATGTCCTTTCTATGCCTCTCTATTATGGTAGCAAGTAGACAGACTTCCTCTGTAAACTAAATTCAACAGATAAAAACGGCTGTGCAGGAGCTTCATTTCTAATAACTCCCATGTCTCCAAATGTGTTGTGGGGGGCGGAACCCCCCACAAAAAAAAACTCTTCTGCTGTGATCTACTCTTCCAGTAAGAACTGAAGACAGTCTTATGATTACAGGTGACAGGCCCCAGCAACGCTTGAAAAAATCTTTGCAAAACAGATCAGAAAAAGACACAGACCCAACCCAGCCCAAACTATTTCCCTGAAGAGAAGAGATTTTCTTAAAACGAAGTCCCAGTAATTGCAGATTTTAAAAACTTAATCCAATAATATAAAGTGTTGTACACGAAAGAAAGGTGCAAGAGGTATTTGCTGTTCTTCTGTCTAAGTTTTCAAACGACTGAAAATCAGCAATAAATCTGAAGCATTAAGTACTCAGTCATCCAAAATCAAATTGGCTATACATTACAAGCAAAAATAAAATGCTGAGTCACCAAACTATAGATCTTTCTAACAAATAGAAGATTTTGTATGCTAAAAGGTGACCAAACTGATTTGTAACCTTAAACAAGAATAGCTGCTATTTCTCATTTCCACTGTGAGGAGATACTTGGATCAAAAAGCTCTGAAGCAGTGTTGCCCAACCCCTTTTCTCCTTTGGGCCAGATGGATGGTACTCAGTCATTCTGTGGGCCAGATCCGGCCAGGAGGTTGCAATCTGGCACTTCACTTGGACAGTGAGGCAGGGCCTGATCTGGCCATGTGGGGTGAGCTGGGCAGTGGCCTAGCCCCAA